GGCCCTGAACGGCATTGACAGGGACGCAGTCTCGAGTTATATAGACTCAAGACCTGTGAATGCCGTTCTAGGCACAAAAACACCGGACATCGACATGACGGAGCTCCATCTGCCTCGGGAGACCAGAACGACAATAGCCCAACTTCGCTCTGGCTACTGCAGCAGGCTAAATTCCTACCTGTCTAGGTTAAATGCGGATGTGCCGAACGAATGTCCGGCATGCGGAGAGACCCCACACGACTCGAAACATCTCTTCGCATGCCCGGAAAACCCCACAACCCTAACGGCGTCGTCCCTATGGACTGACCCTATAGAGGATGCACGCTTCTTGGGGCTGCCGTTAGTGGATCTCGACGGCAACGACTGAGATATCAGCCGATCTGGGCGGGGTTGTTGTAGCCGCTACAACAACAACAACAACCAGCTGGCAGAGAAGCTTGCTAATGGTTGCTAATTCCTGTTCGCGCAAAACTTAGTAAGTTTCTCTCTTTGTGAGAGTAAGGTGCCTTGTTCTCTGAATTTTGTTACTGGCTAATTCTTACTGGCAGTTGCATAGCGAACGCTCCTATAATTGCACTCGTTTTTACTAACTTTTTAAAAAGAGGTGCGTATGTGGGGAATTAGAATTTGCTATGGAGCTTTGTTCTTCCCCTCCTCCTGACGGCTTTCAAAATGGAATTCATTTGCGTTCAAATCTTCCACTCTGTAGTAAATGCAAATGTTGTGGAGTGCTCAAACAACGTTTATAAATTCACTGGCTTTGAGCGATGAGTAATGCAGTTCATGATGAATTTAGGACTCTTCACTCATCTGAGAAAGATCAAACATGTCCCTAAATCTCCGCCTTTCAATTTCCGCATCAGCAATCTGGGACTCGTTCTCCTCTTCAAGCAATAACTCTGCGGCTATGGATTTCATTTTTATAATATGTTTCCCCTTAAATAAAGCACAAACGAAATTTTATTTTTAAATTACAATGATGTTAGATATATTTAGTTATTTTAAATTATTTACAAACTTTAACTTCATAAGCCCCTATAGTTTGGTGGAAAATATTTCTTTTGTTTTGTTTCGGTTTCACACATTCCTAGGCAAACAGCTAACTTCGAAAGATGTTTTTTGTCTTCCTCTTCTTCTTTCGTTTCGATCGTAACGCAGAATACCTAAGTTCGATTCCAGCGGAGCGGAATTCGGGAACGTAATCGAAATGCAGAATAGGGCTGATTGTTTCTTTTGGTACATTGCTGAGGAACAGTATTAGTTATAATTATATATATGACTTCATATAAGTATATTATTCACAAAATATTTGTGAAAAAATAGCTTTTGGGGCACACTGCCAAGAAACAACAACTTTTCTAAATGCTTTCCAGACAAGCGATTTCTACTTTCTCTACTACATGACCGCACTTTTTGGCGAAAACTCTAATAACGGGCGTCATTTGTTGAGTTGCTGTTGCGCAGAGTTGGGGCACGGGCTGACTTCGTCGCGCGTCTTTAGCTTCCACTTAGTTGCATTGTGAGTGGGGGAAGAGGGATGTCCGTTTTCTGAAATGAGACGACACAAGGGAGAATGCAGAAGAAGGTGCTTTTTTTTCTGGGAATTCATTTGAGCTAATTGAGCGTGTTCAATGGGGGAAGAGGGGTGCTTTTGGAGTAGAGGTGCGCTTGGTGTCAAGGCCAGAACATTGTGATTCTTCGCGCATAACCAGAGATTTTTAATTGGCACATTTTGGGCAGAGGGGTTACTCATAGTTTTCCGTGTGCGATTGGGTTTGTTGATCGGTTGTGATGACTTTCTCTTTCCACTTTTGAGTGGTTGATTTTTGTGGTTGACCACTAATTTTTTATTGGTATTCTCATTCACATGTGATTTAATAGTGACATGAGTATACGAGTGGATCCCGATGTGTAGAGACGGTTTGAGCATGTGATTCGAGAGTAACCACATGTATTGTTGCATTCTGAGCAAAAGTCGTTTTTTGCCGGTTGGTTGGGTGTATTCTTTGATTCGGAGTGGGCGAATGCCTTACAAAATTTTGAATTTTAGCCTTTTGAGAATTGCTAATGCTTGAGTGGTGATCATGGGCGATCACTTGAGTTTTGTTATGTTGGGCGGTGGTCCTTTGGGGATGATCGGTTCGGAGTAATCGATTCCTTAGTCTTGTTCCTTTTTCTGGCCTTTTGGCCTTTGGCCTTTTGTTCTGGCTATTGCGAGAGTTGTCATGTAGGAGCGAGTTATGCCGTTTGTGGCAATAGTTGCACGTATATCGTGATTTGCACTGAACCATGCTATGGGAGAAAGCAAGGCAGTTTTGGCATATATTATTTTCTCGTATGAGGTTTATACGTTCTTGAATAGGGAGGTTTTTTAACCTTGAGCACCTTTTCATAGGGTGTGGAGTGTGGCATAAAGGACAATGAAACACTCTTCTGGAATTCCTTTTCTTTGAAGTCGAACATCCGAGGGTGCCTTTTGAGAAAAACTTGCTTACTCTTTCGAGTACTGTGAACCTTGACGTGAGAAAGTTATTCATATAAGACCATGAAGGAAGGTCTCGTAATGAAGGAAGTGATTGCTCCCATAGCGCTAAAGTTTTTTCTGGGAGTTTAGTAGAGCAAATATACACGAGAACTGGGTCCCAGCTATCTGTCGGGACGTTTTGGGAGTGTAAAACGGAGAGACAGCTGTTTATTTTGCTCTGGTGGTTCATGATTTCCTTACTATTTTCAGTGGGGATACGAGTTAAGTTCGTGAGTATTTGGATTTGTGTATCCACTAAAATGCGTTTGTTATCATATCGGGATTTTAGGGCATCCCATGCCAAAGTGAAATTATCGTCGCTGAGAGAGTAATGCTTAACAACATCACCAGCTTGCCCTTGGGTTTTGCACCGGAGGTAATATAATTTTTGGGCTGAGGTTAATTGGGGTGGTTTATGTAGATGGCGGTGAACGTGTCCCGAAAATCGGGCCTTTCGTCATAACCACCATAAAATACTTCGGTATCGTAGGGTGGGAGCTCGGGAGAGATTTCTGAGTAGTTAGCCATTTTGGGATCAGCTTGGGGATTCGAGTACCGCTGATTGACTTTCTCGCTTAACTTTAATCTTTCGACTATTTCAGTTTTATCTTTTTCATAAGTATCGATGGCACTTCGATACTTGCCTTCCGCCAGCGCAAGAAAGTTCTCGGAAAGGTCTTCATATTGGGTAAATAGATAATCATATGCGGCCTGAAGCCGCGTCCAACATTCATCGATATGCTTCTCTTTTACTTCCAGTTCAGAAGCAGAGTTTTCCTCTATGGGAGAGGTGGAGAAGCGAGAGTAATATTTATCCAAGCGGTCAATTTCGCAATATAATGTTTGCCCACACGTAAGGCTGGGTTTATTTCGCTGTGATTTCAATATGGCTTTTGATTCTACTATTTGGGAACTCGCGTTTTCTTTGAACCGAGATGCCCTAATAAGTATTTGGGATTTTGAGAACTTGTCACTTGGCATGGTGATAATCTTATAAGACTTGTGAAAAAGTTGTATTATTTATGTTCTATGCACTTGTTTGAGAAAAAATGGTTTCTTGGGGTGTGCACTGTACTCAGAAAACTAGTATTTTACTGAGGAATATTTCATTTCATTCGGCCGCTGTGGTGTAGTGGTAAGCAGTGCGCGCTTCCACTTCGCAACGTCTGGGTTCAAATTCTGGTCAAAGCAAGATCGCAAAAAATATAGAAAAAAAAAGTTTTTTTCTTAACAGCGGTCGTCCCTCGGCAGGCAATGGCAAACCTCCGAGTGTATTCCTGCCATGAAAAACAGCTTCTCATAAAAATACAATCTCCGTTCGGAGTCGGCATAAAACCGTAGGTCCCTCCGCTCTGTGTGACAACATCAAGCGTACGCCACAAATCGGAGGAGAAGCTCGGCGAAACACTAACATATGTGTAAGCGCCAATCTATTATTATTATTATATGTCCATTTTGGGACTGGGTTTTTGAGAATTGCATATGCTTATACATACATATGTGTGCATGCATGTATGTGCATTCGTATGCGAAGCACCTCAGACAATGCAAACAAAGGCAATGGTCAAAACGTAATTAGCATGATTCAATAATACAAGGTTGGATAAATATTGACATTTGTGTCAATCGACTGCCTTGCAAGGTTGCATTTGAGAAGGAAAGAGAAGCGGGTAACAATTTTATCTCCTTTTGTGAAAATGTAGTAGGAAAAGTAAGTAGTCTGGTAGTGCTGAAATGCGTTTTTGTGTACAAATTGAATTAAATATATAAAGAAGATTCCACTGATCTACACAATAGACAATAAATTAACTTTTTATGGCCACATAAATATTAAAAATGAAATAAATGGATGTTCACATAAAATTCTTGCCAAAGAAAAATCTTTGAAATCTTTGAAGAAATGTTCCCAAATATTCAAAATAAACCATGGTTTCATTGAAATTCCAGTATATGTTGAACAAAATTAATGGAATTCAAACAAATCCTTTTTTCAAAGGGACTATATGCAGAATTATACAAATAGTAAAGATAATAAATTGATTTAATGCATATAAATAAATATTTTAAAAATTATTATATTTGTTGCATTTAAAGATTACATGTTCAATATCTTAAATTGAATTACATTTGGGTTTTTTTAATTGAAATTTTTTAGTAATGTTTTTCCTCCAATCAGTCTTGCTAATCATTATATTGGTTACATTTAAAAGTTATATCTTCAATACCGCAATTTAATTAAATTTGGTTATTTAAAAATCTAATTTTTGCGTAATGTTTTTTTCTTTTTTCTCCAATCAGTCTTGTTAATCATTATATCAGTTAAACTTTAAAAATATCGCAATTTTAAAAATGTTAATTTTTTGTAATGTTGTGTACTTTTTTCTGCAATCAGTCCCAATGAGCACAAGAAAACATCTTTATTAATATTTCCACTTTCGCTTTTATGGAGTGGTATATTTACTTGTAAATATGAAAAGGCTGCACTTGACCAACCCAAACGCTGCAGTGGTAAATATACATGCACCAGCAAACGTGGACGGACACCCAAATGATCCTGACCTTAACAAGAGAATATATTTATTAATATTTGTATTTTCTTCACCAGCCATACGTGGACGGACACACAGGGATCCTAGCATGCAAAACTTACTTGCAACGGCTGCACTTGTTGTAAAACGCTACTTTTTGAATACAAATTATGAATAACTCCGATACCCTACAAATAAATATGTAAATTATTGTTGTAATTCAAAATATTTCCATTATTTTTAATTTTTTTGCCATACTTACTTGAATTTGCCCAATAAGAAAATGAACTTCCACGAAACAATCGATGAAAATATCGGCAGTGTTGCCTGTTGAACTTTTTATACGAAGACAATATTTCTCCTTGTATTTTAGTAGTAGTTTCTACAAATCAAAAAAGAAGGCAACACAGGTTAAGGCAGAATGCGGGAGCGAGACAACTGCCAGGTTATCCAACCTTGTATTATTGAATCATGGTAATTAGTGAGATCAAATTGTACTCTTTTGTTGAAGCATATGTTTATGTACGTACATATGTATGTGTGTATGTCGTATATATACATAGTATATCTGCAAATACTTGCGTTTGCAATGATCGCGTACATTAGTGATGCCCAAAACAGCACATATGTGTCGCGGACATATATGTAATACTCCTATATTGGCAGTAAGAGCTAGGTCCGTCCGAAAACACCACAGTACAGATATATCAATAAACACGTACGAAAGAAAAGGAACACATACGTTTATAAATCAACATGTACACGACCCATTTACAAAAACGGCACTCAAGTACACAATACATTGACAAAAACAATACTAGACTGTCTCGCTTTGATTTCGGAATGCTTACACATTGAGATGTTAGCTTACTATCAATATAGAAGTATTACATATATGGTCGCGGGCGACTGCGCGTGCAAAGCTTTGCACAGCGGTGCTGGACAAGCGCGGAAGCAAAAAGTTATCGGAGGGGGAAAACGAAGTCAACGGAATAGTGAGATTGTATGTGTAACAGTGATGGAAAATGAGTGTGCATTGTGCCATTTTCGGCCCTTTCGGAAGCAGCCGGCACCTTCAGCACAATCGATTGATTTTCGGCACTATTTTTGCGTAACTCAATGCAACTAATAAATATTTCTTTCGGATCCGCAATTAAAAATATTTTTTTTTACATTTAATCTTATGTGCTTAAACTGATAAATGATATAAACATAGAAACGCAAGCAGAAGAATCTCGCTTCCACATTCTGCATTGCGCTTAACATTTCTGTTTAAACAAATTTGTCGAAATTTCATCTCTAAAGCAAATATTAAATATCATTTAATATATACTTTAGATTTAAATAATCATTTTTAGTGGTGGGCGAGTCCAAGATATTTAAATGATCGAGATAGTACATTCAATTCGCATAGATTTTTGAGAACTTTTTTCGTTGAAGGTGTTGCACTTTTTTTCCATACTGAAATTGTGTACATCATTTATCATTGTCTAAGAAAAATTAAAAAAAAACCGACTTAAAAAAAATAAATATATCTATATATTTCATGATTCAATGATTGGATCTAAACCAAATTAGTATGGGACAATCTCTGAGGCACTATCTTTCCGTTGCAAAAAGAATTATTCAAATCGGTTGACGTGGTGCAAAGTTATGCGGTAACATACGTAAAAAGTTATATGGAAGAAAGTGCGCAACACCGCAAACAAATCAAAACATCAAACAATCAAAAAATCAATGGTATTTTCCAGACACTTCAAACTTGCACCTTATGAATGAATGGGCTACAAAATTGTTAACCCAAAACATGTCTACAAATTCTGAATAAAAACTGTGAAAATTTGATGAAACTTTGTTGATTTATTCATTCTTTCAAGTTTCGATTTATTTGCAAAGTTTTGTTTGATAATGAGCTACAATTTTATAAAAAAAAATTATTAAAATCATTTAAAAAAAATAAAATAAATACCGAGTGACCGTGTAATTTTGTCAAAGATGAAGACAATGATGATAAAACATTAATACACTGTAGGTCAGTTCATATTAATGAACATAAAATGAGATCACTATCGATAAAATGGAAATCCTCAAGGGAAACTTATAATTTCAACGCATGGAATTTACATACATTTTTTTACTTTCAACCCCCAAATCGCTCAATTACTTCTATTTCTGCAGGATCGCCATTAGGTAAATTTCATTTCCAAAGATTTTTTCAAAATAAATAGCGATGAGGGATATTTCACCCGCCGGTCATAAGAAATCGCAATCACCATAACACACATCACTAATATTACTGTTCACAATCACGTTTACATTCAAAATTACAATTCATAATTTCGTTTTGTAGCAAATATGAAATATAGGTATATCCATTTACTTAAATGTAAACGGATTAAGAATCAAAGTGCTAGAAGAGATTTGAGCGTTTGGTACAAAAAGTATTGTTGATGTTGAAATTGTACTTCAAATCGCCAAATTGTACTTTTGTACATGTTAAAATTAAATGGACTGAAAAAAGTACAATTGTACTTAAAATATCAACACTGTTTCACTGGCGCTGCACTTGCTGCAGCGATGCCAGATTTGAGCGTACCCAATTTTTTACCGATAATAACTCATGTGAGGGATTTGGGTATTGGGCATTTTACAAGCCTATTAGAAGGTATACATAACTGTGTTCGTATAGAATAGTAGCTTATGTCGGAAGACTGGCTTTAGTATAATGAACCATTCGCAGCATACGATTGCGAAAGACTCACCGGCGCGGAGTAGTTGAAGAACTCTTGGAAAATAAACGTAAAAGACGGTAATGTCAATGGCGATGCTAGCAAGTCAATATTCGTATAAAGTTTCATAAAAAAATTCCTTGTAGTTTAAAGAATATAGGAAATGGTACATTTTAATAAAGCCAGCCTCCCGACATAAGCTACTATTTCATACGAACACAAATATATTCGTCTACAAATAATGTTGATTATTTTAATTAAGTCCTAAGATAAGTTTGTGAATCGTATCAGTGTTCTATGTAAGAATCAAAAATCAATACCCTCGCCAATTAGAAGTTTTGCTTTAAAAGAAAAATATCCATAGTGCATTTACTCAATACTTGGTCTGGCATAACTGTTTGAGCATTGATGTGCTCAGCTCACTATTGCCAAGGTCGTGCATTTTGCACTAAATTTAGTGCTTTTGGGAAACCAAAAAGCCAAAATAAT